AAAAAAAAATTCATAAAAAAAAAATGGGTGTCTTAGGGAGAAAGCCCGGTAGCTTCTCCTGTGGGGCGTACAGCAAGTCATAGAGGCCAAGGCAAGGAGGCCTGCTGAGCGCGTGTTCCAACAATCTGGCTCGGGGCTCCAAACAATGGGAACATTGTTCCCATTGCTGGAGGGAACGGAGGAAGAGGTGAATTCAAGAAAATGTGCCGCAAGAAGCGCTAGGACTTCCTGAGGTGTCAGATGCAGTAGAAGGTAAAGCATAAATGGGACAAAGTCTTGATCTGGGGGGCTGAAGGATGAGCAGGAGCCTCCGGGGCAGAAGATGGCTGGGTTGAGAAGCAGGATGAGGCTTGGGAATGAAGAGCATGAGTAAGCTTGGCCATCCTGTCTTTCTAAACTTCATGAACGCTGGCTGTGCCCAGCGCATTTCCAGGCGAGCAGCCCCAGAGGGAGGGAATCGGAGGGAGACAAGGCAGCTCCAGGAGCCTTGCAGGAGGCTGCTAATGTGTTGGGAGAATTGGCATCGATGCAATCAATTCTTGTTCTCTTTGTTCTGCTTGCTTTAATTATGTGTCTTTCTGTGGAAAACAAACAAGCAAGCCATACGAGGGAGAGCTGTGATTAGTGGGATTTGTTTCCTGATTTTAGGGATGTGTTGAGACTCACGTTTGAGTGGGGGCATTCTCTGAACGTTTACCAGACACTGCAGGGTAGGTGTATGTTATTTTATTTGCCTAAGAGGTGCCAGGAAAGTAAAATGTTTTTAGGACTTATGCGTTTGGGGTTACCAAGATTCATATTACCTGACTTTAATTATTGGATAAACGTTAGTCTTGGCTGTAGTTTGCTCTGTGTCCTTGGGAGAGTCTGGGCTTCAGTTTTCTCCTCTGTAAAATGGGAGAGAGAAGGTCAGGCTCAAGTTTTAACTGTATCAGAATGATTTGAGGAGCTTCCTGGACATGCCCGTGCTCAATCCCTCCTCTCAAAAGATTCTGGAAGTCCGGGGTGGGGCCCGGGCACCTGCATGTTTAGCAGGCTCTGGGGGCTCCAACGGAGGTGGTGCACGGTGCCACCCTGTCTGGGTGGGCTCTTGGCCCCTTCTGGCCAGGATTCTAGGCGATCCTCTTGCTTGTGCTTCCTATAGCTAGCTGCAACTCCTGAGTGCACCACTTGCAGAAGCTTTGGAACTGCAGCCCTGTTTTGTTGTCGGGAGGTCCCGGCTTCAGAAAAAAGCAAGGCTGAGCCCTGGGGATACATCATGGGCGAGGGTGGGCTAGGATCCACAGGGGGTCATGAACAGGGCCCAGAGCAGGCCTACGTGGAGAGTGGAGGGAGGGGAAGGGGACCCTTCTCCTCCGTCACTCTGGAGACCTCTGCTGGCTCTGGATTCCAGGATATTCGGCAGGTGTGGGGGCTGTTGATAGGCCCAAGGCTTCCTGGCCCTTGGAGACAGGGCAGGGCCCTGCCTCAGCCTGTAGCCTCCTGTTCTCACTCTGGCCATTCTCTTTGGTCTGCGGCCTGGGACCCCAGAAGACCTGCGCTAATGGATGGCCCGGTTGGCGGCCTGCTGGAGGACAATGAGAGAAAACGAGGTGGCAAATGGAGAGGCCGGTGGTAAAGGATGGCAGCTGGCCCGACCCAAGCCCTGCCCACTGTGTGGGCTCAAAAGTGAGACTCCAGGGAAATGGGGAGGCTGTGCCCGGATGCCCAGACTCAGCTCAGTGGTCTCCTGGGATATCAGGGCCCAAAGGACTGGGAAGGGGATAGCCTGATCTAGGGTCGAGGCTCAGTCCGTCGAGGCTCAGAATGGCCCCCAAAGACCCCCCTAGCCGAATGCTAGGGACCTGTGAATGGGTTACATGGCAAAATGGATTGTACAGATGGGACTGAAGTTACTTGAAGAGAGGGGGTTATCCTGGATGATCTGGGTGGGCCCATCTAATCCCAGGAGCCCTTCCTCCAACCAGAAGGAAGGAGGAAAGATGTGGCAGAAGGGGAGGTTAGAGAGATTTGAAGCCATGGCGGAGGTGGGGGGCACTCAGCATGCCAGTGCTGGCTGAGGTGTCCGGCCCACATACAAGGACCAGGGAGAAGCTACTAGAACTCATGGAAAGCAGGAGAAGGAATGCAGGCAGTCAGGGGGATTCAAGAGCAGGGTGCCGACAACCAGCAAGTACTCGGGACCTGGGTGCTCCCACCTGGCGGAACTGAACTGGGCCAGCACCCATGGGAGCCTGGAAGCAGGTTCTGCCCCAGAGGCTCCACTGGGGAATGCAGCCCGCTGCTTTTAGCCTAGGGACACGGCTCACACTTCTAACCCGCAGAACTGCAAGCAGTTGTTTTAAACCACTAAATTTGCCGGAGTTTGTTACAACAGCAAGAGGAAACCAAAGCAGGCTTCCTTTCCGCGATCCCAGCCTGAAGGACCAAAACATAGTTGTCCAAGGACAGAAGGTACTTTTTCAAAAGTGACTGAGCTCCCTGCCTGCCCAACTAGAAAACGCTCCCGCAGGAGCCTGCTCTTTGCATGAACCGAATGACCTCTGTGACTCCAAGTAAGGCAGCCCTAGGGTAGCTCCGCTTTGTCTCTCTTGTCCAACAGAGTCCCCGTCTCAGGAGCTGGGGCCCTCCAGGGTCACCAGGGCCCCCGCCCTCACGGAAACTTTACTTCTTGGAGCCCTGGGGACCTGGGGTCTCAGGAATCCCTTCTTCACAGTTCCTGAAATAGGATCATGGTCAAGTTGAGCGAAAGGTCTGTATGGTCAGTGGAGAACCGTGTCTGGTGTGGAGCCAGGGACAGAGCAGCGATCAGCAGGCAGGGGGCTAGGCTTCGGCCCCTAACTGGCTTTAGGACATTGGGCAAATCGTCTCTCAACGGCGGGCCGCGCTTCTCCAACCTGTGAAGCCGCTCGAGCTTCCTCCGGGATGGAAACTCAAAGCTTTGAGACTCTGGGGAAGCCGGCGCCCAGCAGGGCAGCTCACCGGCCGGCGTCGGGGCAGCGGGACGGGACAAGGCTTGGAGACGGCTGATGGGATGAAGGGGGCTCCAACACCTGCCTCCGGGGCCGGCCTCCGCGGGGTCCGGGCCGAGAGGGAGGGCGGACGGAAGGGCGGGGC